AAAATAATTGACGATATCTCGAAAACTAAAAACTTTTTACTAAGGAAATTTTTTTTTATCTGCAAGATCTAAGGCAAAACTATCTTCCATGTCGCTCTGACGTGATATTTTAGGGACACCCAGTATATGTGAATGTAGAAGAATAATTAATTTAAAAAAAATATCAAACATTCTCTCCCTTTTATCTTTTAAATTCAGAATGCGTGTTAATCATCGATCACTAATAAAAAAAACTAGATACACAATCAGTGACATAATGTCCTTACCGAATGAGCGCCCACTCGAACATTTGAGTGCGCTTTTAATTTGTACATACGTAGCTTTGTGAATACAACTTTAGGCAATGCATTTAAGGTTGAATTTACATTAATGTATATTTATTTGGGTATTAATATTATTAAAGATAGTGACTGTTTGTATATTAACCAGAAAGAGTATTTAAAATCTATATTGAAAAAGTTTGGTATGTCTGAAGCAAATGCTAGTGAATCACCCATGGAAGTTAATGTTAATTGATGATTGTACGGTTGATTACTCTTTAGAGCATAAATGCAGAGCTTGTATAGGTTCTTTAATGTGTGCTGCTGTTTCATATTTAGCAAGATATCAATCTAGACCATCAGAAAGGTTATGGCAATGCTTGAAAATGATTTTAAGATATCTTAAGGGTACCATTAATTATAATTTAAAATGTAATAAGAATTGTAATTCTGAACCACTAGTTGGATATGCTGATGCTAGTTTTGCTGTAGATAAAGATAGGAAATCTATAACTGGTTATGTATTTAAAGTATTTGATAACAGTGTTATTTGGCGTTGCAAAAAGCAGAGCACTGTAGTTTAAAGCACTACTGAGGCAGAGTTATACTCCCTCAATGAAGCCGCTCTGGTGGCTTGTTGGATTAGGAAATTATTAAATGAGTTAGACGTAACTAGAATTACGTCAAAACAATTGGTGACAGTTTTTAGAGAATTTTTGCATGGGATTGTATATCTTGTTTTTTATTAGTGATGGATGTTTTTAATGCATTATTTTAACTGATTGCCGTTCATAAATATCTCCTACTATTTTACTACGCACACACACATTTGTACGGGTCGCTCGGTCGGCAAAAATGTTGTGAATTGAATGGCACACAGAGGAGCGCGCGTACCATGAAGTTATAGATAAAGATGGAGACCACACTCCGAATACCTACTTGAAGCTTAACCTATGTATTACTATCTCGCTCTCTGTGGGCAGACCCTCCCTTTCTAAGTAGGTAACCTTTAGTTTATTTTTCGCTATAAGTAGTTGAGTTACATTAAGTGTTTTATTTATAAATATATATATCTCTGTTTACTACTAAGACCTAGCCTATATAGATTATATATTTTTGTACAATTTTTTTCGGGAATTGACTAGTTTTATGAAGAAAGGTTTTCATTTCCATGGGCAGAACCGGTATTAAAATATGACCACGCATTTCCGTCACAACCCATATACTGCCGAGCCCATTTAGAAAATGTGGAAAATAAATATATCAGAGAATATTTTATAACTACCATTTCGATCATGTATTTTCTGGTTATTGTATACAATTCCTAAACGGTACCAACGAAATATAAAATTAAAATTTATTATAACCCCGGGTGATCAATGAATTGGGCAAAATATACCTGATTTATTGTTCAGACAGACTAAATCTATTTTTGGACAATTATTTTAAAAAAATATCACGAGGACTAAAGCAGCGTAGCGGAGCTCCTGCCTTAGCCTTCTGACCTAACCATCCGAGTCAGGCTGCTCTGAGCTGAAATGTGTATAATACTATATTCCACACATCCAGTTCATTTTAAGAATTATCTACAATTCCTAGGAATTCTATATAATAACGGATTTCATAGATTTCTAGTAACATATGTACTATAATAGGAACGATAATATATTATTATTTTGAGTTGTTATCAGGAAGATGCCGCTGCCCATCTCCTGTTTCATTTTCCATCTGACACCTCTTACAACACCCTCGGAACGATATGGGGTAGTGGATATTCTCACACCGCCAGTACATGGTTTGTTAAAAACCTTAAAAAAATAAAAACACTTTCCATATTAAAATTATTTATTGAAATTTTTCACACCATGTGGATTACTCTGTGGCTTTTTAAAGTCCTTACAGATATGAGCAAAGCGCCCTTGAATAATATTTTCAATTTCTGACTGACCCGTATACTTTTTAATATGTCCATTAAAGAAGACCTATCCTGAATTTTTTAGTTTGGCACGCCACTTTTTGCTTAAGAATCTTAGTTTTCGTCTTAAGTATTTCTTCTTTAGTAACCTTTATTTTCACTTGCACGCCCCTATCTTCGCGGGTCGTCGTATTCACTGCTGACCTAAGAAAACAAGAAAACTTTATAAAATCAGTATTTTTAGCATCGTACATTGTATTGCTCCGCTCATTAGGGTCGTAGCGTGATGTTAGATAGACTTCCTGAAGAATAGGTTTTAAAAATGTAAAAAATTATTTTCAAATCAGACTAGTATAGTTCCAGAGATTGGAGAACTCTAACAAAAAAAAAGAAACAAATAACTCTTCTACATCATAATGTCAGTACAAATTTACATAATTTAATAGGTAACACATAATACACCGGAGCGCGCCTTCAAGAGCACGCATAAATGAAGCATCAAACAAGAAGCTTCATGCTTAGTGTCGTAGTGACTGTTACCACACTGCGACTGGCACTAAAGAGTTTAAATATGTATGTGTTTTAAGCTATATAATACATTATGTAATGTAATATTAAAGTCATAATAAATACAAATAAAAGGTATGTATTTAGTAATAAAGGAAAAGGAAACTTACAGGTAACTTGTTAAGATTGCATAAATTTTCAAGAATTTTTCGAAATTGTTTTTTACTAGTTTGGTCTTCAATATTACAGCCAGTACATTTCACTTCTGTTTCCTTAAGTGCAGAACTACTTTCATAAATGCCAGAACTAGTGCTTGGTACAGCCAGAGCAGCTATTTGCACAATAGACTCTTCATGTAATGCACTTATTGTCTGCAAATAATAACATATTTTAAAAAATGTTGCTTTATATCATACATCTAAACTACTACATTTATAAATACACAATTATTAAATAGTTATTAAAGTATCAGAATAATGAGAAACAAAAACTAAATAAAAATAAATTGTCTACCAAAAGAATATATTATGTTACTAATTTTTAATTTAATATTATGAAATCTATGAAATCCGTCATTATATAGAATATATAGGAAGTGTATATAATTCCTAAATTTCATGTATTTCCGGTAACATAATAAGAAACATGTACATATAATTAGTTAAGGTCACACGGAAAGTCTCAGATACATCGTCAATATGGTCACACTACTTCAGTGCGATTTCTTTTAAACAAAAACAATATAATTGTTCAAACTTAATTAAATTCAATGTAAGACTATTTGATTTTGACAAAGTTATAATATACTAATATGTTTAAAACACTGATAAAACGTTTCAGCAAAAAATTAAGTATTCAATGTCAGAAGTCACTTTTTAAATACTTACGTGTGAAATCTTATATCACCTCCTGGACACCAACTACTGCCGCAACCACGTACTACACAAGTTTGCACCATTTCTTGAATTATAACAATAATTAACTTTAAATATCTCAAACGACGCTGTGAACTGCTAAATAAAAAACCGCCATATTTGTCTAATTAATGTTGACATATAGGGCTAATGTTACAACATTACCAAACCCTTAGGAAATGGGACTTTAATTCACTGATTCGTGAACCCAATAATGCATACGAGACCTTCAATTTTGGAATTTTTAATGTAACTAATCGTAGATCAACTATTTATTTATTGGTACATTATTTTACAAAGCTTAACTTCTGATTCAGTTAGTGTGGAAATTATTTCTAAGAATTTACCGGGAGATTCAAATAAAAACATAGCAATATTGTGTTCAACACTAAAAAGAGAAGTCAGACCACAGAGATTGAGATAAAGATACGTAGGTATTTGACTCAAGTTGTTGTTCCAAGTGTGGCCTCCATCTTTATCTATAACTTCATGGCGCGTACGTACACGTAGTTGTTGCCCATAAATCACATTCCATTTGGGATAATTTGAAATAAAAGTAGAAGCCTTATTCACTCGTATTTAAAATAAACTGCAATAACGTTATATCATTATTTATATATTTGAACTATTGGACACGTTGGCGGCCACTCATATCAAGGGTACCTCGTTTAGAGCCGGGGCGGCATTAGAGGCAGCTGAACCGAGTAAGTGGCGCAAATATGAGTCTCTGAGAGATGACTACATATTTGTGCCATTTGCTGTAGAGACTATCGGTCAGTGGGATCCACGTGCGGTGAAGTTCCTAAAGGAACTCCATCCGCGGCTAGTCGTTGCTGCTGGTTATAAGAGGGCTGGTTCTTTTCTCGCTCAAAGGCTAAGTATAGCCATTCAGCGGGGAAACGCAGCCAGCGTTCTTGCCAAAATACCGCGGGGAGTAGGACTGTATGATAATTAAGTTACTAGTTTTAGTTTTTTTTTATTATAGTTTTTAGCATTGTATATAATAAAAAAATGTATGTTATGTTATGTCATAACATAAAAAAACATCGTGAGGAGACCTGCGTGTCTGAGAAATAAGAAAAAAATATTTATAAGACATGTGAAGTACGCCAACACGCAGCAATGGGCAGCGCGGCGGACATTTCCTTGCCCTAAAACGCTCTCAGAAATGAGAGCAGACCTATGCTCAGCAGTGGACATATATAGGCTGTAACTTCAACTTAAAATTGAATACTCTTTGAAAAATAACCTTGTATAGTCGAAATCTTTAACCTTTGAGACTGTTTCCATTTGTTTGTTTGTATTTTACATCTCATAATTACGAGATATTTATGTCCCGATATGTCGACTCTACCGAGTTTGAAATTGAGTGATCAATTAAACAATCCAATAATAAACTTCCAGACGATGCTCCACTACCATATAAACGAGACGATGCGCTACAGCGACCTGTTCACCGAGCTGGAGACACTGAAGAACTCAAATCCGATCGTCGAGGACTACTCCGTCACGGAGACCACGCTTGAAGAGGTGTTCTTGTCCTTCGCCAAGGAGACTCATGACGAGGCCGACGAAATAGCGGTCACCACTGTGTAATTCGGTATTGGAAGGATTAATTCCTTGTACATTATTCCTGAGTCCTGACGAAAACCAATTTTCCCTTTTATATCTTTATAATTCAAAACAATATTAACATTTGTACAAATAAAATAATTTCTGGAATGTTTTGCACACTTTTATATTTTAGTTTTGGACTGTTTCAGTACATGCCAAGTAGTCGATTAATTAATAATTTCCTATTTATAATTCAAGTCTAAAATCAATTTGAAGACAATCTAATCTATCAATTCTAAAGACAGGTAGGTACTTTAGTATATTTTTTATTGAAATTACAATAGAACAAATTTGCTTTCTTTCAAAACTCACTTTACTCACTTTTTTACTTGTGTAATTTATTGATTTACATTGTACAAAATGCCACCAAGATTATTTAATACTGAGTAGTATTAAATAATCTTGGTGGCATTTTTATTATGATTTTATACTACTCAATTTAATTACTTAATGCTACTCAATACGCATTTATGACAACATTACTACCGACAGCACTACCGGATACTTGTTCCCGCCAAAAATTCCTTCTGCACACTATTATTAACCTCCAATACGAATGTACCTACAGTTGTTATAACTGCTTGCAACACTTCTCTGTGGTTCTTTTTTGGTTTTTTGTCTTTGATTACATTCAATCCAAGTCCACTATTATCATCCAGTGCCTATTTTTAAAATAATTACAGTCCATTCGTTTAATACATGTGTTATAAAGAAACTAGGCATTCCATTGCAGTCCTCAGGGGTCAGGATCTGTGTTTTTATTTTTACTCATACTTTATTTTTTTATATATATGTAGGTGTCTGAACGACAGCATTCAATTACCAAATTATCACATGGACTGTATGTTCGATTAAAAAAAAACCTACTGTTAAAAATTTATAAATTTTATTCATTTGTCTATTATAATGTAATTCACATCTCTGCCTATAATTGTATCGGTAGTAAACAAGTGGTATAATTAAAATTTTGTACAACCGACTTCAATATAAATAAAATGAGACCATCATCAATGTAGTCGAAGTCAATTAAATACGCAATTCAAAAACTACTGGGTTCTTCTTTCAAGTAAAAAAGGATCATCAAAATCGGCATACCTAGAAAAAAGTTCGGAGGTTAACACACTTAAAAAATACAATCTAGTTGAGAACCTGCTCCTTTTTGAAGTCGGTTGAATACAATGATTCTCATTCTCTTTTCTTTAAAACTAGTTCAGTTAAAATTTTATAGATATGAGAATAGAAAAGTCATGAATCATTAAACATCACAAAATTGTGAATTTTATTTGTTCATAATCATTTGCATATGTGATCAATACGCATGATTAAGTTATTGTTTAGAATAGTAACTGTGATATATATATAATATAAAAATAAGAAAATATAAGACGCTGATTAGTATTAAAGCTTTTGGCTTAAATGTCATAGGTCGTTTATATAAATTCATACATACATGCATTATACATAACACTCACGCCTATCACCCAGAGGGCTAGACAGAGACCACGGAATTACATTTGAGACGATCCTGACACACCTCTGTCGGCTCCTTTACATCCATATATCTACGTATACGTGCTCGTCGGTTAAGGGTACTCTTAATCTGGCCCATCTTCAATATTGTCGATAAACTTTCATCTAGGGCGTCCCTTCCCGACTCTGCCGTTCACATCTGCAGTATAGATTTGCTTTGTCACTCTTTCCTCGTTCATTCATTCTACATGACCGATATACATAAATATATATAAATTCAATGGTCAATTGTCCATTTTACCTCTAGAACAGTATGCATAATCTATATCTATACAAATAAATAAAATTAAAGCGTCTGTGTGTAACGTTAAATAATAGCCTTATACTAAATGCATATTAAAATATATACGGTACTAATGACAAAAAAAACAATTTTAAAAGTTTTTGGTTGTCTGTCTGTCTTTCTGTTTGTTCCGGCTAATCTCCGAAACGGCTGGACCGATTTTAACGGGAATTTCACTGCTAATTAGCTGATGATATAAGGAGTAGCTTAGTCTAATTTAATTTAAATAAATAATTAGGGTTCCGCGCGAAATAAATTTAATTAAAACCCATAAAATCCAATTGTAATAAATTCCACGCAGGCGAAATCGCGACGAACAGCTAAGCTAAGCTGAGTCTAAATTGATTGCCTCCATTCGTTTAATAAATTAATCAATTAATTAAGCGTGTATTTAATTTAAACGTTATAGTGGCCAGTCTTTATTTAGACTAAAATAAACCTGGCGTGTTAAGCGGATCATTTCAAAATGGTTAAATTATCAACTATTACAAAAGCGATCTCTTTAGTACTATTTATTTTTTCTTTTTAAAAATGACTTCCACTCTAGGATTTTCTCCTGCGGCGTGGAGACAGGTTACATACATTTATATCACCTTGACAAACATCCAGACCCGGAACAATTATTTTTGTAAGTCATATAAATACTTGTTCCGTGTGAGATTCCTAACCCGTGGCTCTCAACGTCGCAACTCAATCATATGTTATTACGAAGAAGCTTAGGCCTTGGAAGCTAGCTAAATAAAAAAATATTTGCTTCAAATTTAAATTAGCTCTCACTATTAAAATGACAATGCAAATTATATTGTTATGTGTCGGGGTGAACTGATAGGTTTGTTAGTTGCTTTTGTTTAAAAAAAACCTTTCCCAAAATATTGTTACGAAACCGCTTCAGTATTCCATATAGGTTGAGCAAAACAAATATTTTGAAATAATATTTATTTAAAAAAGAACTATGAACCAAAAAGCTTTAATCGGAATCTAGCACTTTATTTCCGCTTATCTCTGCACCACTGTCTAAATAGTCATCATCATCACTGCTGCTTTCGACTATAAAAATAGAACATGGATTTATGTGTGTAAATTTAGCTTTGTTGTGTATTTAAAAGAAAACATTTTTAAATTATTTTTAAAACTAATTATAACTTCAATAGATTTAGTAATGCTAAGACTCAGTTAAATAAGTTGGGAAAAGAAACGTTACGCTTGTTAATTTTCTTTGCAAACTGTACCTTCAAGTTGCAGTTGACAGATCGTGGTCGATTCTATTCTTAGTTGAATCGCATTGTAATAATTTCCCTTCAAATGTTTAATCTGCCTCAAATTTACTATAATTTGAGTTGAATATGGTGGAATACTCAAACGTTGCTCAATTTTAAGATGTCTTTAAGTCTCGTGCTGTCACAGTCATTTTTACTTAAAGTGATAGAGACAGCACGAGACTTACGGCATCTTAAAATCGAGCAGCGTTTGAATATTTCGACACAATAGAGTATAAATAAATATTCGGCGATTACGCTGTATAATTTTTTCAAATACTATGTCTTCTGTGGTTGAAATCCACATTATTGATCGATATTTATTATAGATCGATGCTTTTTAGAAAAATGTTACATTACACTAGGTTTCAAAATTACTCTACCACAAAGAAAGTTTTACTGTGGCTATAGCTACGATTACATATTTAACAATTATTCCTGTGTCCTATGAATGTGTTTTTATGACTAATACTTTCACAATTGGCCATGTAGTAATATAAAATATAAACTCTGGATAAAAATTTACAAATATTTTGTATTTTTTTATAGTTAAAATAACTCTTTACATGAATCTCAATGAAGATATTAATTATTTGTTTGAACCTTATCTAATATATAAAAAATAATTTTTGTTTGTTCGTATTTTATGCGCTGCCATACCGTTCATCAGATTACGCTAAAACTTAATGCTTGCACTTGCGCAAAGGTTACAGGCATACCGCACCGGCAAATTTATTTGAAAGATATATGTATATCATTCAAATGCAATGAATGTATTGTCATTCCTAATTAAGCAATATAACGTTTAAAACGATATTTTCACAATTATTTCTTCTGCTGCAGCAACGCGCCGGGTACCAACTAGTTTGTAATATAAATTAATTGTTATTTAAAAGAATGACAATAATCATATTTTCCTTTCAGAAAACTTACATCACATACATTTTAATGTACACTTTTTTAAGTTAATTAATGTAGTTTACTAAAAATTTATACCATTTGTGCGGTGGGATGGTGACATAAGCGATAACATCCCATCTCGTTCCGTGGATTATTAAGGAATTCTGAGACGCACAAATATAATCAAGCACGTTGATTTGTGTAAACGGTTTGATGAAGCGGCTTGATCGGCACTTAAATATCCGAGTCACTGATAATCATCAAAATGTGTACTTTGTGACAAAAGTTGTCCTACCACCTTGATCGACATGTAAAGCTTTCTGATCTACCACATTTTGTACATCGAATCTTTTTAAACAATCAATCAAATGTAACAGTCTTGTGTGCCTTGTGAAGTGCTTGAATCCCATAAGGGTAGACTAAGGAATTCACGACACTTTCTCTTCTTGAACACTATGAAGTTGTGGTATTCATGAAGTCATCTCGTGTATGCCAGACCTGAAATACCAAGACCAGCAGCGGGGAGTAGTTTCAAGACATCAGACGAACTACTAAAAAACTTATGTCCAACATTATGAGGTGACATTTCCGTTTACGTTTATACGTTGTAGAGCCATGCTGCATCTATATTATGGTTGTAGCACGAATGGGTCGGCTCGGCCGGGGTGGGACCAAGCTCCCACAGAATACCAACGTAAAATAGCAGCTTAATGCTGCTGTGTTTCGTATGGTGAGTGTAAAGACCCGGAGATTATTTTTACTGAAAACTAGGCATTCCATCTGAGGACAACTCAGGAGTGACAAAGCATCCGCATTTTGATTCTTAATCAAGGATAAATATAGATGTGGTATGGGACACAGTATCCACTTACCATCAGGTGGACTGTGTGCTCGTTTGTCACCGTTTTCTAAAAGAAAAAAAATCATTCCAGACTATACAATTACAGGGAGGCTATTTGTTGGCAGTTATTTATTTATTTATCGTTTATTTTTATTATCATAAAACCCAAAGT